TACATTAGGTAAAATTGGGTAAAAAAGTCCTCTACCATTTTGCAAATGACCACATAGATTTTTAGATTAAAGAAAATTTGTGCATTATTGCACACAATTATTTTCTTTCATTAATAACTAAAAAAAACTGATTAAAAATCTACTGATTAAAAATTTGATAACTAAAAAGCTGGTTATTTGCAAAATGATGAAAAGTTTTTGTTTAATTTGATGTACAAGCACACATCACACATCGCTATTACCATAGCTTATCTACCATATCGCGTGCGCGATCATTCTTTTTTAATTAACTCAACTTTCTTTAATTAATATCTCGATTATTGTTGCAAATATCACAAAATGGTATAGGACTTTAATGTTTATCTCAATCCGCTCTATATTCTCATAAAAATTGCGGAGGAGAGTCTAGACATTCTATACGTATTGCGGTAATTATTCAAATAAATTCATTCACTTAACAGCATATATTTTGTGATATCATTAACAAAAAAAGTAAAGAATATATAATTGTAAGAGCACAGCTTCGATATCTTTGTTTTTCGCACTTTCTATAACAACAACAATCTCAGTATCTTGCAAATCTCACAAACAAGAGCCGTCTATTGCCTGTAAACACGTTTCTTATAGCTGTTTGTTACTCTTTTTTCGCCAGCGTCCTGTTGCGGATTAGACCCAGCTACCTGGTGTCGCCAGATTATTTCCCAATAATCGAACTATTCAAATCTTTTACAGCTCACATGATCTTACCTTTGTAATATAGGAAATTGTAAATCTGAAATATATAATATAAATCTGAGACGAGCAATATCTATTATATAATATTCAATATATCCAGGATCTCTCTCTCTCTCTCTCTCTCTCTCTCTCTCTCTCTCTCTCTCTCTCTTTCTCTCTCTCTCTCTTTCTTTTTCTCGTCGTTCTTCCTGCCATCGCCGTCGCCATCGCTGCTGCTGCTGCTGTTCACTAAACGCTATGTAACACTACGCTATTTACACCAACTTACGCACTACTACGGGACACACACGCTAAAGTGTGTTGGCCTACTAATTATATATTACAGAGCACACGTCGTCGTTCGTACTTTCTCTAGCGCGGACACGCAGTGTATAATATATATACATATATACATATATATATGTATGTATGTATATATGTATATATGTATATGTATGTATATATGTATATAACATCTTTGGACTCGGTTTTATTACACATTTATAGAGAATATTACGATCGCTCTCCTTATCTCTTAACGCCTTCCTTCGACTTCTATTCGATCTCGCTTCTTCTCATTGTCCCGCGGGAGCTCCGCGCGCGGGGAACGCGCTTATTATATCCGAAAAGTGTTCCCTCAGTCTGATAAGAAAAAAAGAAAAAAAAAAAAAAAGAAAAAGAGAGAAAAGAACGTAGTACCCTCCTACCATATTTTTCCCTCGTCCTCGGGAACCGACCGGATTCGCCGCCGGTCGCTCGTCGCTTTCCATCCAGTGCCGGTTGAACGGTACACACGTTGTACAAATACTTCCTCCTCGACGCTTGAGATTCTCGACGGTGCCGTCGTCGTGTGTTCGTCGCGGGGGTAGGTGTATGAATGGGGAAGGAGGGGGGAGGGGACCATTGGAAGACAAGCGCTCTCTGTGTAAATGAGAATTAAAAAAAAAATAAACAAACGTCTCTCCCTGACGACGTTGAAGAGAAAGTGGGTTTCACCCACGCGAAAAATTGGCCCGCGCGGCTCACGGAGAGCAAAAGGACACAGAGTGGTGGCCGTGGTGATGATGAGGATGAGGATGAGGATGAGGATGAGAGTGAGGATGAGGATGAGGACGATAGTGGTGGTAATGGTCGACGTGTGTGGCGGTCATTAGACATGCACACCCCGTTGAGGGGGTTTCGGGAATGCTACCGCCGTTGTGGACGCGCAAGCACTCGCAGTTGGAGGAGAAAATTCGCGCGTGTCGCCCTTGTCCTCCACCCTGTGTTCGCGTCTCGGCGCGTGACGTAGCGTGGCGCACCGCCGGGAAGGGGTAAACGACCCCCTTCGTCGCCTTCTGTCTCTCGATCGTGCGAAGGGAACGCTCCCGACGGAATTAACTAAACGGGTAAAACCGAGAGAGAGATTCGGCGTGAGACTGTGTGTCTGGGGTGTGTGTGTGGACCGCTTAGACCGCCGACACTTGGGCGTCTTCGTCATCTGCAACATTTCAGAATGGCGTTTTAGTGAGTGGCACGTAGCAGGGCGCGAGCGCGATCTAAGCGCGTGGGGCTTCAGAATTCGGCTGGACTAATTCGCAACGCGTGCATTCCTCGAGTTTCATTCGGCGACGGAGCGAACACGGAGAAAACTGATTGCTCGGTATTGATGATCATTAACGCGGCATCATTAACGAACTAGCCAGACGCGCTTTGGTCGGAGGAAGCAAAATCTCTGGCTCTTTATCTAAAAACATGATCTCGTTCTCAGTGGTCCCCTTATACATGAGTTATCTAACTTTGATTCTAAAATACCTCTGTTATTTCTAATATTAGAGAAAAATGTGTAAAGAACAAATGATTGTTGTTGGAAGGAATAAATATTGAAGTCAGTCAATCCTTTTCCAATTACACAATTTATTCTTCTTACACATTTTCTTCTGATATAAAAAGAAATAACAGAAATATTTTAGAAGCTAACATTAGGTGACTGATCCTGTATATTCTGTATATACTTCCAAAAGGATTCTTCTTGAAGCAAAAAAGGAGAATATTCTAAAAAAAAAAAACTTTAGTTGCAAGGTGTTACCTATAATCCTATATCTTAAGCGAAAACTCTCACTGGAAGAGTATTCCTCTTTTAATGAAATAAATTATTAATAAGAAATCTACTGGATGTTATTCTAACTTACTTTTTTCCACTTAAAAATTAACGCATTTATTTGAAGCAGAATGCTCTATTACTATTATTAGAAGAAGTTTTTATTATAGAACAAAACTTGTACAGCAGATAAAAGAAATTCCTTTAACTTTGAGAATATCGTATCTCGAATATTTCCCTTTTGGTTTTAGAATTTTCTTAAGACTGTGTATAAGAAGATTCCACTAAAGATGAAATCATATCTTCTTTTTTCTTCTAAGAGCCCCAAATTCGGACCTAAGAATCAGAAACGCTGCTTCTCTCGACAGAAACGCATTTGGTTATTCGTTCATTGCCGCGTCAATTCAACCAATCCTTTTCTCAGTATAGTAAAAAAGAAACGAAGTATCTCTAAGTAGAGGATCGTACGGCAAAAAGAATAACGGGAAAATCAGAAGCTATGGTAATATAATAAAAAAAGAAAAAAAGATTCCATGCGCTGGATGCTAGAGAAAGCGGCTTATATACAGTTCATACTTATTGTCCTACAATCTTGTGGGTTAGAGTCTTCTCGTTTAATGCAATCTGTCTAATAAAAGAGAAACCCACCGGCGTACGTTCCTCCGGAATTTAAGAAAAAAGAAAAAAAAGTCTAATTACTCTTCAAAACGAGTCGGCTCTAGAAGTCTCTCCTCTCTCTTTCCTTCTCTTTCCTTCTCTTTCTCTCTCTCTTTCTCTCTCTCTCTCTCTCACTCTTTCTCTCGGGGAACAATCCCGATACGAACAACAAAAATGGACGGTAGAGGATGATCACGTGCGACAAGTAATGCAAGCAAGCAAGAATTCATGCCTCGTTATCACGCTAAATGATAAATAATTATGGGAACAAACTGCATAATCCGACATACAACATCGTACAACGGTGTCAATGCAAATTTCGACAGCGATGACGAGCAAGCGAATGTGTGGATGCGATGACTAGTAACATAAATATTGACTCGATGCACTTGATGCGGCTGGAATGTCGTGATGCATCGCGGACATTTGCGCGGCTATGCTAAATGAGTGCGCCATTAAACACACACGATAATCACAGAGATTCAATACCCAAGCTCTTCATACGTCGTACACAGGCGCTTCGTTAATTTACACGTGACTAGCGCGTATTTACAGCGCGCGTGTATGCAATAATCAACTTCTTCCCGAGATCAATCGGTAATATTATCGTAATATTGTCGCTGTGTTTACAATTGTGTGCAAAGTCGTGTTCGAGATTATGCCGTGAAGACTCGCGATATCACCTCGATTGTTTCTATTGCTCTATCTTCCCCAAGGTGGGAAAAAATCACCTCGAGAGAAAAATAGCTAAACTAAGTTGCTAAATTAACCGACACTGTGTAAAAGAAAAGATGCTGCCGAATCAGTATAATCAATCAACTCCGCCTTAATTAGTAAACCAATGTTGGGTATTAATCAATTCAAATTTCCTTTCACTAAAATAATCCTTTCACTAAAATAATCCTTTCACTAAAATAATCAACAAATTAACAACCAGAATAAATCAGTCGTCATATACGTAACGTCACGAATAATTTAATTAATTGATGAAATTAATTACTAATTAGAATATTCAATCAAATCAAAGCTCGATAATTAATGCTGGTAATTAATAAATAAGTTGGTTTGGTAATTATCAAAATTAATTATCAAGCTATGATTATTAATTTGATTTGTTAATTATAAAAATTGATTAAAAGCTTTGATTAATTAATAAATTAAGTTTGATAAGTAATAAATAATTTCACTAATCGTGATTAAGTTATTCGACTTTATACGTGACGATTGATTAATTTTGATTATTTGCCGATTATTTTAGTCAAAAAGAATTATAATCGATAAATGCCCAACGCTGCAGTAAATCCTTTGGATTTAACAACAATATTATTGATGCTAATACTGAAGTTATTAAAGTAATGTACTAGTGTCAATAATATTGCTACTAAATCACAAAGATTTATTCCAATTGCGGCGATGATGATTAAATCTATTGATTAACACTGAGAGAAAAAATATCCGAAAAATAAAAAAGTATTTATTCAGTGTTTATAATAATAATATACTCACTTAAATTACCTTTTATTTGAATGGAACAATCGCTTTTATGAAAAGTTGAGGTTTTAAGGAAACGTATATTTTTTTGTTTGAAAAATATTTTATATTAGTGTAAGTAAATAAGTTATTAGTATTCACTGGATACATTTTGTTCATTTCTTAGATATTTTTCCTCTCAGTAACAGAATTCATCTTCCGTGTGTATCAAAAGAAAAGACTGCAGTTTCCCAAAATGATCGGTCCCAGTGACATCCACCAAGATCTGGGGCGTAAAATCGGTATAGCTACTTTCGACTATACGCACGGTGAAAAGTGTTTCGGTAATAAACAAACGTGGAAAAGAAAAGAAAATCTTCCGATCAGCGGGAAAGCGCTGCAACGCTCATGCTCGCCCGAGGCATTACAGACCGCGGAAGAGACCGGTACTCTCGTGTACTGAGAACGGAGGATGGTAATGGTGATGAGAGCTGTAAAGAAGAATCAACACTCTTCGCCGTGCGTGAACGTTAACAACGGGAGCGTAAGCCTCAACGAGCGTAAACCGAACAGCGGTGTGTGAACGTGAGGTGGTTGTGGTTGTGGTTGTGGTTGTGGTTGTGATGGTAGTGGTGGTGGTGATAGTGGTGTGTGAGCTGTGTGAACGGTAGCGATTTGGTTACATGTAGTACCATCTTCGTGATCGGTGCGATAAGTGACCCCCTCGTGGCTGTTAGCACGACCGAGTCTGTGCAATCTCGCCATCTGTTGCGCAACTTTGTACGCCGGTGGTTGACGGCACTGCGGCCCGCTACTCATGCCGGGTCGCATCGTTGTGATCGACGAGATGTTGCCCGCCGCCATTGCGCTCATCGTCGTCATTATCGTCGTGGTGCCCGCTCCGGGCGGCGGCAGCGGGGCTGGCATCCCTAGGCCCATGTTTACTCCTGCTAATCCCGCGGAACCTGAAAACCCTCGACTCACTCCATCTCTCTTTCTCTCTCTCTTTCTCTTCCTCACAGTCCCCCTCCGCGCCGCCCTCAATTCCTCATTCGCTCATCAACATCTCCTCATCATCATCAACCACCAACAAAAGCGATTCGTTGCCATTGCGAATGCGGCGATCTGGTAAACGAGCGTTTCGCGATTAACCCCATCAGCGACCGGCGTCCCATTTATGGCACGCTTGTTTTCTTCACGTGAAAATTAAATAAACATCCGTTATATATCTTCAATTGTATAGCCAATCAAACACATAGTTTTCAGTTATAATATTAGTTATGTAATTTCATTGTCATGTAATTTTATTTAAGTTCGTATAAGTCATGTGTTTATATCTCTCGGGTGATTTAATTTCTACACACAGAAAAATACGTACTGTATTCGAATAAGCATTATTTGTGTTTCAAGTATTTCGTAAATTTATATATCCGCGAATCTATCACAAACTCATAATCCTTCCTTTATAACCTATATTGAGCAATAGCTCAAAGATCTCATCGAGTAGATTTGTAATACAAGGTGTGATAAAAAAAAGACCGGAATTCTGTCGTCGAGCGCGTAAAACTTCAGGGATGTAGTTTAAGATTTTACAGATAGATAGCGCATCCTTCTCCAGTACGCTAAAGTCACTAGATACCGCAATTATTCGCCATGTTTATTCTAGCCACACGCGGTTGATTCAAAACGTCTATATTTGTATGAATATATTGCGTAAAGTAGAAAAAAACAATAAATAACGTTTATCACTTTTCTTATTTGTATAACATTTAACATTTGTAACACATAATAAACAGCTATTTCAACAGCTACTTCATAGAATTGCACTTAATGTGTAGGTAACGTTTGCGCTACGTACACTTCCGACGCCATTTTTATTCTAACGTTGTAACCACGAATTGCGGTACTTCATATATCTAGTGACTTTACAGTACGTTGTAGAAATTTTGTTATGATCGATCCAGTAGTTCCGAAGTTATTGTACTGAAAACGAGTGTGTTTAAACCATTCTGCGATTCGTCACGCGTTTTTAAAATGAAGGTGTTGTAAGAGCAGCGTGTTTGCGTGAAATTTTGCTATAAGTTGGGAAAAACGTGCGCGGAGACATTCAGACTCCTTAAGGAAGTTTATGGGGATGAGACTATGAGTTCACGCTGCTCTTGCAACATCTTCATTTTAAAAACGCGTGACGAATCGCAGAACGGTACAAACACACACTCGTTTCCAGTACAATAACTTCGGAACTACTGGACCGATCATAACGAAATTTCTACAGCGTACTGGAGAAGAATGCGCTATCTATCTGTAAAATCTTAAACTACATCGGTGAAGTTTTACGCGCTCGATGACAGAATTCCGGTCATTTTTTATCACACCTTTTTTTTATCGTCTGTAGTTTATAATTTATAAGATAGAAGACGTCATAAATTAATTATTTGTGTGTGTGTGTGTGTGTGTGTGTGTGTAAATATGTATTGATAGATCATTTGAATCTACTCAACGAAATCTTTTGTTTGAGTTATTGCTAGGTTATAAGGGAACGTTTTTTCTAATCTTGACATCTTTTGATGGGCAAATTAAGGCCCACAGAAAAATGAATATATTATCATGCTTTTTTTATATAAAAAAAAACTAAAGGGGATAGGATAAGTGCAAATGCAGTAGAATGGTATTTTTCTCTGTACAGTGTCAAATTTCTAGAAACGTATAAGAGAATATCTTGTTTCCTTTATTCACTTGTATGTCATCTAAATTTTCAATTGTATATCTGAACCTTGAAAAAATATAATTGCAATCTGGGATATATGAGAAATAAACGAAACTGATTATTTAATAGAAAAAAGTACGTGAAACAATTACGGTCTTTGCTAGGTTAAGGTAGACATCGCGAATTCCATTTTAGACAAGATGCTAAGATATATCCTACTTGCAAGATATCTGAAATATACTTCGCGAAATATTTCAATTGTAGTTTTTCCAAAACATTGTAATGCGACGTTTATGATCGTTCTCACATGTCGTAACCGACCGAAACTTTCCTTAGTGAAACCTCTTTTCGTTTTCCTCACGAAGCCAACGTAAAAAAGAAAAGTTACAATGACAAGCAACAATCCCCGATGAGCTAAGTTAAACAAAGCAAAGTCAACCGCGCTCGTTTAACAACCCGCCGAGATCCGCGACAGGCAGACGAGTTCTAAAGAGAAAACCGCAAGGCATTCGGCCGGCTGTACTCGCCGCAAGAACCTCGCCTAAGAGAGCAAAGAAGTGCAGGACATAATATACCGTATTTTGCGCGGTTAGTACCCTGAAAAGGAACGCCAGTTATATCCGTTAATAACGCAGGACACGCACGCACACGCACGCAAAAAATGCAGCGAGCTCGATGCAGCGTGTTGCTTCTAGGTCAGGACGTTGAGGAGAGAAGCGAACGGGCAAATACTAACGTCGTCGTTGTCGCTAGCACCCACTCGTTCGCTGGTCTCACCTGTTAACACGCCTGTTAGACTGCCATGTTGGTCAATGCTCAACTGAAATTTAAGCAATCGAAGATATGATAAATAAATGCATTTCATGATGCAAGTATTCACTGACTCGTTTGATGGACTCTATTGACTGTATATTATGAGTGTCCCCCTAAGCAATTAAGTATTTCAAAATAAAATATTTAAAAGCTTATAAACAGATAAAATAAGAAAAAGGAAGAGCCGAATTGTAGGTCTAATTTGCATATATTATACTATACACACAGAAAAATATATACTACATTCAAGTAAATGCTTGTCTCAAGCATTTCGTATAATTTCATTCGCAGAAGTATTTCTCAATACATCGGCGAATTTATCACAAGTTTATCGCAAGCATCAAAATATATTTTGAATCCTAATAAGTTTCAACATTTTAATCAAAAATATAAAGTTAAAAGAAAAATTTGGTTACTAAAAAAAAATTTGAGACAAATGAGAACCAAAACGCTGATGGAAAAGCGGATAACAGCAATAATAGAGATAAAAGTTAAATTATATTTATTAATTTTATAAAAGACCCTCTACTATTGCTGTTATCCGCTTTTCCATCGGCGTTTTAGTACTTTCTCGCCTTAAATTTATCTTAGTAATTGAATATTTAAGGAAGCCTACATCAGTATTTTATAATTTGTTAAAAAAAATTCGGTTTATATATATACCATATAGAATCAAATTGAGTTTTATTTCACTAAAACTTTATAATATTTTTATAAAGAGAATAAAACATTTTTCTTTAGTTGTGTGTGTGTATAATGATAATGAACTTCTCTCAAATTTTTTAATAAGCATATTTCAAGACTATTATCAAGAAAATATTCTTTGCTGAAGATAACCATTATTTAAATAAAAAAATAGCATATTATTTTACTGTGTAGACACGCAGATATAAATTATTTTACAAATATTTTATAAAATAAAATTATTTTATAAAAGCAATCAATTTTAGTTATTTATATCACAAATTCTTTTAATATTAGAATATTTCGGCCATGCATATTGTGCTCATCCTTATATGAAATTAATATTTATAATTAATCTATAGACAAATCTAAAAATATTTTTAATCAATAATATAATAAATGCCTCAACTAAATAGCACACGGAAATTAATGTTTATATATCACATAACTAAAATAAAAACTGATATGAATAAATCTCATAAATGTTTGGTAACTGTTTTAACTCATAAATGTTTGATGAATTTCCTAATATTACACAGAAGAAAATTAGTACAATATTTAAAACAAATATAATTAAATTAACAATCATTTTTATATATAAACAGCAACATAATTTCATTAGAAAAATTTTAAAGTCTTGAATTTCAACAAGATTATAATTTTATTTGCATACTATAATATTATATAATATGATTATTTTAATATCTTCTTTTTAAAAACATACTTTCAATTCAATATTTTGTGTTTTTCATTCGTAAAAATTATTTTTGAATAGTAAGAATGTATTTTTCTTTTTGTTAAATCATATAAAATGTACTGATGCAAGTAACTTATCTTCTCTCTTTCTCTCTCATTTAAATAATATATACAGGTCCCGCCACTACCATTATCTTTTAAGGGCGGATTGCTAAAATAATTTGAAGAAAAAATCTTAATGTAAAAATATCGAGGTTATAATACTTTTCAAATTATAAACGATTAAAGTTGACCAATTATACTGGCTAAAGTACGCGCGCTCAGATACGATACAACACAGAGTGATACAAGACATGCACATGTCGCCTCTTTTCCAAATATTGACACGGAAGTTCCACACATAGAACAACGTATGTAATAATAATCTGCCTTTTCTATCATTTAAATAAACATATCGCAAATAATAATAATTTCGTCAAAATATGAATAAAATATCACATAATACATTTATGAGAATCAATAAGCTGTCACACATTTGATGTTTCTTTATGAGATTTACAACTAATTTCATATCTTATGCAAATTCTCGCTTATGGCGAAGAAGGTTGCTACATATCGATAAATCGATCAATATTTCTTGTAAACTATTATGATAAATTAAATCAAATTAATACGTACAATACGCATATGTCGATAGTATCGATTTTTTATCTGTGAAGTAGGAACTCATAAGATAATATCTGGAAAAAGGGCGACATGTGCATGTACCTATACCACTGTGTGTTGTATCGTACCTGAGCGCGCGTACTTTAACCAAAATAATTGGTCAACTTTAATCGTTTATAATTTGAAAAGTACTATAGCCTCGACATTTTTGCATTAGGATTTTTTTCTTCAAATTATCTTAGGAATCCGCCCTTAACAGATAATGCGATAGTGGTGGGACACACTGTATATAATCTCATTTTAATACTTACATGTGAAAATTCAAGATATTTCTGAAATAAGAATATTCTTTCTTTTCTGTGTAAATCTGTCATATGCAATAAAGTTATATCCCATATAAATAACATAAGTTAGAGTAAGACGCGGCTGGTCAGCGACGACCCTCATGGCAGTCGACATGTTAATTAACAACGACACGAACACTAACAAACGTGTCGACCTAGAGTCGGAGTTCTGAAAAATAGCTGAAAACACTACCGGGAGAAGCACACATCCCCAGTGTCCGACAAATAACAAGCGGCTCAAGCTGTGTAAAGATGCTGCGAAAGTGATGGCCAGTGTTAATATCTATTGTCTACCACAACCACACACTCGCAACACTCCAATTCTCTGTTTACGTTACATCACGCGCGCGCACAAATCTGGCATGCATGCACCATCATCATCACACTGCGCTCGCAATCCTTAAAGCAGCGCGGTGTTCAGTCACGAGCCGGGAATTCTTTCCCTCAAGAAGCGGCGTGCGAGAGATTCAATGCAGACCGATGATGCAAGATGGATCAAACAGGCAGAAAGACAGTCGCGGACTCACCTTGAGGAGTCGGGGGTTGGTGGTGGTGATGATGATGATCGTGATAATGTTGTTGGTTGTGGTGATGGTGGTGGTGGTGGTGATGGTGGTGGTGGTTGTGGTTGTGATTCTGATTGGCGGGAAGCGGAGGTAACACTGCTACCGCGTGAGGAAACGGAGGTGCTCCACCCCTTATAACAGACCCTGCACCATACAGAGGCCACATACGATATTTCTTTTCTCTTCGTTCCCGTTCTCTTTCTCTTGACACGTCGCGATCGGCGGAAAGAATCATCATCATCCCTCGGATTGGTGAACAATTGACGCGACTCGCGGCTTCTTACACGGAAAATTCTGCTGGCGCGACGCGAATCTCCCCGAGAAAAGTCGCGCGAGCAACGATCTGATCGTGACGCAAGCTGTAAAGCGAATTTTACAGAAGCGGCGGATAATCCTTAAAGAGGAAGCGATTGGAAGCCACAGATGCTCTGTTATGCCATACGCAGCGGCGCTCTCGACCACGCGGATATCAAAAAAAAAAGAGAAAAAAACAAGGCGCGTGATGTTCAGCAGTAGCTGTGTAGTAATATTCAATTATTTATACATCGTGCTCTCGTGGTATTTACAGGTAATAGTTCGATTAGCACTCGAGGGTGAATGGCCATGGGACATACGTTTCTCTCAGCGATACAGTTTGACCCGGCGAAATGGGGGACGAGAGAAAAATGTGACGGATGGAAATGATAAATATAGAGTAAAACGCGTCGACGAGAACGCACATTCGCGATAAATTACGAGCCAACTCGAACCGCGATCGCTAGTACGAATATAAGACGGTGAAACTGGAAAATTAACGATTTCGGTCGACTTTTTTAAGTCCCGATATGCTGCACTGAGAAAGAAAAATTGATAGAAATAAACTCTACTCTGAGAGAAAAATATAAGAAGTTAAAAAGATTAATTTAATAAGCGCCACAGTAATATATTTACTTGTATCAATATTTTTTATCATATTTTTACACCAACAAACTTTTTTGTAGTAAAAAAAATATTTATTTTCTTCAAGCCGCGTAGCTTATCATGAAGAACAGTAAGTGTTTATTCTATTTAAGTGAAAAATAATTTTAGGAATATTTACTGAAATAAAATTTAAGTGAATTTTCTGTTCGATATTTATTTAAACAGAATTTAAGTATTCTAAAAGTAAGAGAAAATTTAAGTTAAAGTATTTTTTTATAAATATTTGCTTAAATAGGACTTAAGTAAATATGTTATTAGTATTTACACACATATACATCCCGAATTTTTATCTTAACGATATTTTTTTCTCTCAGCGTAGAGAACTACACTTCCATGTCTTCCGCGGCATCGAGAAACCCGGACACTTCACCGAACTCGTCAACACAATCTCGAGTCTCAGGCCGGCATTCACAGTGGGATCTTACATTTTAGATCGTCATAAATTCATCTTCAGATGCCTCATAGCCACGAAACGATCCGTACAGCATCTGAAGATGAACTCAAGACGATCTTGAATGTAAGATCCGACTATGAATACCGCCCTTAGTCGACACAATTAACAGCACTATTCACCGGACACAAAACGACCACGAACAACCGCAATCGTCTGACAACGTGAAAAGAACAGAGACAGACAGACAATGCAAGAAAAAAAAAATGAAAAAGGGAAAGAAAAAGACAAAAACAAGACTGACGTAAAACACAAATCGCACAGCGAATGGGTGTGAAGAGGAGAGTGACAAACGTGATATTCGCGAAGACTACACTTCGGCTTCTCTTTATCCGCGAACGTCGCGGGAGACTCGATTTCCTCTCCGGATTACATCGCGTCGGAAGAAACTACTGTCTCTACTCAACTACTACGGTCTACGGATCGGGCAAACAGGAGTGATAGCACGAGCACACTTGGCCATAATCTCTCTCTCTCCTCTCTCTCGCTCTCTCTCGCTCTCCCTCCCTCTCTCTCTCTCTCTCTCTCTCTCTCTCTCTCTCTCTCTCTCT